TTAAGATTCGAACGTCACTGTTTTTTACTCTGTCTCCAAGAAATAGGAGCTTGTTTGTCTTACTCTGCCAACGCTGACCATAAGTGTAAACTCAAAGCCGTAAATTTTCTAATGACGCCATTTAACGTCTGTATAATTTGAATTCGGTGCCAGCTAGACAGTTGTTACACATCCGACTGTTATAACATCAAATAAGATGGAAATCTATGAATTTAGCGCATGTTGGTAGATATTTGAGCGCCTTTTGCGATCAGTATTGATGTAACCTTGTTTCGAAGTGCAGGTTGAAATAGCTGAGCATTTTAAGCATCATTTTCGTCAGTGCACCTGATTATTTTTTGGAAAAAGGGTACTAAAATATCGTGACCGCCAGCAAAGGTGGCGTTCAGTTTTTTCGAAATCAGTTAAGCTCGCAAACTGTCTTGTCGAGTGGGGTAATGCATTGCGATTTTGCCGCCACGACGGCATAAAGGTCATTGATTTCTGCTGCACGGTCAAGATTCGCCGATTATATCAGTGACGGTGGGAACACAGGCTGCAAACTAATTACGTAAAAAATAATATATGTGTTTATCCGCCATTTATGTGCCAAAATCGATCGGCTCATTCACGACTCCACGAAGTGCTTAAGTCCCTAGAAGTCTGCTGGAAAATTTCGTAAAGTAGACCAAGCCTGGTCTTAAACGTCATCTTTAGGGGGAGTAAAATGTAAGTTTTTCTAGCTAATGACGTCCTCCGTATTTTTATCTTTTCGACACTTTCGGACCAGTGCACTGTCTAGTAATAATTCTTGTCTGAATGCACACCTGCCTCTGCCTTAATGATTATTATACCTACAATAAATATTGTTTTAATGAAAGCAATTGTTTATTCTTTGTTTATGTAAGTCCTTTGGTCTGTATTTTAAAACAGTAGCAGGTGTACAGTATAAACGCTTGTTCACATGTGGCACGGCAATGGTTAATGACGTGATAAAATATTAACACATTATAGGTTTACTGGCACATTGTCAGTGTTCGATACCACCGTTGAGAATAACGATCTCCTTTCCGAATTCTAACCACGAATACTTGGCATCCCTTCGTTTCCAGTAGATTGGATATCGCTTAAACAGGCGACGACGTCATGTCATTTTGTACCTGCAGTGCATGGATGCAAAATAGCACCACTTTGTTGCATCGAAAAGAAAGATTTGAAGTCCAACGGAAATAATTTGATCTGTAGAAAGATATAACACAAGTTACCGGTTTCGTGCATATTCACTGCAAACTCTGTAACGGTTGTAGGTACATTAACCGTCCCGTAGGCGATTGGGGGAACAGTGGGATGACCTGACGAAGTGATAGGATATTGTTCTTCTTACCGGCGATATTGTAAATTGGTAGTTTGCTAGTAACATATAACTGGGGTATATTTTAGGAGAAAAACTAATAGTTTTTATTTTTATGATAGCATAATAATATTACAAATATGGAAAAAAAATGTTTGCTAATGTGCCTGGAATTCGAAAACTGGTTACTATTTTTTTTGCATTGAAATTAATGACAACTTATGGATTACGATTTATGAGCGTTTGTGAGGAATGAACTGTGTTAGTTAATCAAGAAATAGATGTATGCCAGATTGCGCCCACCTCAGTCTTAGCCTCATGTTTAGCAGTAGTTTCAATTCGATGGTGTCGTCTGCTCTCTGACCCCTATACTTTGTCATTCCGCCGTTGCTTAGGTTTTTGCTACTCTTGGCGGATTAGCGAGATCAACTCAGCTGTAGCCACTAAAACAGGACTTCCGCGAGTTTTTCTGTGGGGATGAAAAGTTTTGAACAGTTGTTGAGGAATATAGGAGTATTGACATTTTTCTGCCGCGATATAATGCGTTTAATCAGAGTATAAAATAAAAAAAATTAATCTGCACACTAGCGGAAACTAGTAGCATAATTGTGAATGCCCTTTGATGTGATGTCTATAGAACATCAGTGGTTGATTAATTTAAAGTTCATGTATATGTTCAGTAGGGATATCCAATTCTTGGCTTCAGGTGTAGCTTAACGGACGGAATGGATGTTTCCTTTAACGAATTTGACAAACGAAGTAATTTTGACGAAGTGCATATTAGCAAACCAGATATTCTGGATGTCAAAGTAGTTCAGTATAGAAGAATAGTCCAGGTGTCACAGCATGGATAACCCATACCAATATTACATATGTTTAAACAGCAGGAAATCAGAAATAAGGCAAGACTGACCACAAAGAACTGGAATAAAAAACAACGCGATACAGTTTTACTGCCCAAACATACACAGGTATAGTCATTTACATCTGTCAGAATTTTTAAAATATGTTAATTATGTGGGAATGACAGATCTGAGATAATATATGCTAAAAACTTTGAAATTAGAATACAAATGGAGCTGTTGTAGCTTTCTTGACTAACGTTCTGCGGATTTTTAAAATAACGAGTTCTTCCTGTAAAACGTAGGTAAATTCTTGAGTTTTTTAGAGCTGCTTCATTCGATTTTCCGTACTTATCCGGTCGGATATCTGCTAGTGGATCTTGCTCAGTCACGAAATTTAAGTGCTGTGAATAGTGAGAAAGTCCTTTTCTTAAGGACCAATGAATACCACTGGGTCGACATAGAGAATCATCGGTATCAAGTTACTAAGGAGGAGAAACGATCAATTTTGTTTGATGACAGCATCTAGAATTTCATTAACCTCTGTACGTAGAAGCATCCTATGCGCGCTTATGACACATGTATTAAAATATGTTGAAGAAGGAAAATTAGAAACGATCTTATTCGGGAAACTGCCCTTTTGTTTGAAACGCTAAGATTTTTAATCTATATTTGGTCTTAATTCCAACCCATGGATGCAAAATATAAACTAAATCTGAACGCTATTCATAAAATACAGACTACGCAGCATTGGAAGTTGCGTGTTGAGAATGACACAGAAATGCAAAGATGAACGAATGAGTAAGAGAACAAACAAGAGTATGCGCTTGAATAGGCCTATATCCGGCAGTGGATCACAAAAAGCGGATGATGAAGATATTCTATTCTAATATTCGATGTCCGCGGTACTATATGATACTAATATTTGTTGGTAGTATTATGTATTGTTTAATAATAGTAATGTCAGCACTGAGTAAAATAATGTATAGTTTTGCTAATGTTGGTAGCAGTCATTAGACTATTACTGCCAACTATATTCATACTTGTTATTTTGTCCACTAAGTAATGCCAATGACAGTTATCAGTACGGTATAGTACTATCAGCAGTATTTCTCCATGGTATGCCATCCAATAATGGTGTTAATATTTTTAATGCTACTAATATTTTTTAAGAGTGATCGATGGTACTTTATTGCAGTAGTTATGCGAGCATTTTATGCTGCTATATGTTGTTGGCAATACTAGTATTAAATATTTCTGCATCGTGGTACTGCCACTATTATTGGTATCTTGATCATCAGCCGTTGTCAATCCACAGCTGGACGGTGATCTTCAAGATTTTGCCGTGGACGTATATTTTCGGCGATTTTAATCCACGTTGATCCCGCGGATTTCTTCGCAATTCACTCTGTTATTGATCTGAAGATCTTCCTACGGACCGTTTATTGTCTCTTGGAACCCAATGTAATGTCTCTTTGGTCCAGCGATGTCCAGTTCTTTTTGCAGCATATCCTGCGCACTTCCTCTTCAACATTTTCACTCGAACAGTGACATCACGGAGTCTTGTTTTTACTCTTATCCATTCGTTTGCTTTCCCATTTTTTCTTATTATTTGCAGTATGCGTCTTTCCTTGCCGCGTTTCGTAGTCTGTAGTTTATGAAAGGCTTTAGGGCATAAGGTCTACGTGTGGCATCCATTGGTTAGTAGTGGGGGCACACAGTTATCGAAAACTTTCCATTTCAAACACAAGGGCAGTTTCGAAGATAGGAACATTTTCAGTCTTCAGAAATTGCTCCATTTCCATTTCTTATTATGATTTCACCCGGTTCTCCTGACTGAACGGCAACAGATGGATGTAGTTTTGAATTTTTTCAAACCCAAGTCGACTGACATCATTTAGGTCGCGCGGCCACTTCCTCTTCAACCCAACTCTAATGCTGGAGTCATTTAGCTCTCGGATATTCGATTTTGGATTCTGGTGGCATATGCTGTTCCATATACTAGTATTATGAATAATAATATGTAATTCTAATATTATGAGTAGTACTGTTGACACCACTGATATATTAGATACTGTATTAATTGTGTTAAAAATACTTGCAACAAATAATGTAATGTTATTAATACATGCCTTTGTAAACTGATTTCGATCCTGCATTTTCTTCAGCATCAATTCTGAACGAGAGATAGAGTCGTTATTGGTACAATCAGGATATCAATGTTAACGCC